GTGAGCCATCTGGGCTCTCCTGATCAGTCTCCTGATCCTCAGCCACCTAGTAGTAAAACAAACTCCACAGTCTAAGGTTGAAATTCCTCAACTTCAACTTCCTTTCTCGTCTTCCCTCAGCCAAACCTGCTGCTGTAGTTTGGTGTCCCCCAAGGTTCCACGTGACTGGTGGCTTGGTCCCAGAGTGGTGGCATCGAGAAGTACTGGGTATTGGGTCTAGAAAGTTCCTTGGATCACTGGGGCTCCTAACCTCAAAAGGAATTAAGACATTTCTCCTGTGATCCTTGTTTTCTCGGAGAGGGTTATTATAAAAAGAGCAAAACACACCCCTCCCCTCTCCGTTTCCTAGCTGGAGATATGATTCTCCTCCACATGGGCTCTGCTATCCACCATGCAGTCTTCCCAGAGCATGTGCTGTGCTGTTTGGACATTCAGCCTCCAACACTGTGAAGCAAGTAAACCTCTTTCCTTTATTAAATTAGCTGCCTCAGGTATTTTGTTGTAGTGACAAAAAGCTGACTAATACACCAACCAATGCCATAATTTCAATTTATCACTACCAGAATTTTCATACTAAGCATCGTATAGGTTCCAAAATTTTGAATTTTCTGTACCATAAGTCTGCTCCATTATCACAATAACAAAAATGCTAAAATATATGAGAGACTACAACACCCCGACACCAGGCACCAGAGACACAAAGCTGAATAAGATGATCCTTGTCCTCCAGAAGCTCAGTCTGTGAGGGGAGATAAACATGGATACATGCACACACACATCAAGAGGCACAGCATAGGCTCACCACTGGCATATGTGAGATGCACAGGTAGCCCAGAGAAGGAAGTGATGAATTCTGAGGGTTGAGGTCAAGGAGCTAAAGATAAAGCTTCTCAGTCTATACCATGTCCTAGCCAGACCCTGAAGTATGAAAAATGAACAGATTTCCAAGACAACAGGGAAAAAGGGACACGGACTTCTGTCAGAAATTAGCAAGCTCAAAAGCAACAACAGAATGGGTGTGAGGTGATAGGGAAACAGAAAAACATTTTCAGCAGGGATGAAGCATAAAGAACAAAGGGTGAGCCCGACGGTAGCACATGCCTGTAACTCCAGCAGCTTGAGAGGATCGCAAGTTCAAAGCCAGCCTCAGCAATTTAATGAGGCCCTAAGCAACTTAGCAAGACCGTCTCAAATATGAAAAATAAAGATCTGGGGATGTGGCTCAATGGTTCAGTGCCCCTAGGTTCAATCCCCAGTACCAAAAAAAAAAAGAAAAAAAGGCCAAAGAGTGAGGAGGGAATATGCAGAAGAGGTACAGGAACATTTGGGGAACCTCAAGAAGTAGGGGATGGTGAATGACAGAGCCAAGGGTGTTCGTTCTGCTAGAGGCCAGTCTATTATATCTAACTGTGAAATACCAGCAAGCCTCATGAAACATCATGGTTAATTGGGGTAAATATTGGGAGTTCATAACCCACTTCAATCTAATGTATGAAATATGATATGTCAAGAGCTTTGTAATGTTGTGACCAACCAATAAAAAAAAACATGAATGTTGTGACTCTACTGTGTGTTCAACCAGAGACACAAAAAAATTGTGTTCTATTTGTGTAATATGGATTGAATTTCATTC